GGGCGAGGCTCGCGCCGGGGTGCAGGAGCGGGGGGAGGGGAGCCCGCGCCGGCTGCTGCGGCCGCCGGAGCCTGGGGAGGGTCCCGAGAGTCCCGGCGAGCCCGGGGAGGGGACGTGGGGCAGCTCCGCACACCTGGGGCGCGAGGCGGTGGTCCTAGGGGAGCCCCCGGTGCGGCGCCCAGAGGTCGTGGGCAGGGCTCGGCTGGTGGGGCCCTGGGGGCCTGAAGGAGAGGGGCGTCCGGGGGTGCAGGAAGCAAACTGGTTGCCTGGGGTGCAGGAGGGACAGGTGGTTCGCGCGGTGCAGGAGACGGTCTTGGCCGGCAAGGAGTCTCAGCAGGGAGCGGGGCCCCCAGAGGGCCCCGGGACCCGAAGGCGCAGGCGGAGGAGGAGGTGGTAGCTAGGATTCCCGTGGGGAGCGCGAGATGTAGGTGCGCGGGGTGTGGGCAGCTGCGAACTTGAACGCTGCTGTAAGCCGCCGCCCGGGGACAGGCAGTGGCTTGCGGGATCATCTTCTACCTCGCCTGGGCTTCACGGAGAGCAACTGAAAGCGGCAGGTAAGGATGCCTGTTCTGATCTTTGCTGGAGGTGATGTGTTTGGCGGTGCGGAACAGCAGGACTCCTCTGCCAGTCCTGTACCACCGGCCCCGAGACGCCGAGGACCTATGTTCCAGTCTAGACTGGACGTGCATCGGCCTGGGTGGCTGCCGGGTCGGGGCACAGGGAAGCGAGGGGTAGCCCAGGGCTGAAGTTGCAGGCACACAGCCCCCAACTCCCTGCCAGTCTGCTGGCGGAACTGGGGGTGCCCTGTGCAATGGCTGGTGTGGTGCAGTCAGCAGGGGTCGCCTCTGGTCCTGCAGAGAAGGAAGAGGGCCGGAGGGCTGCCAGCTTGGAGGCTTACCCTGTGGGTCACGTGGGCCCAGTGGGAGTGTGGCAGCCAGTGGTGTGGGCAAAAGCTTGATTGCCCTGCCACGAGGTTTTACCACGGTTGGTTGGTACTGAGGGTCCCGCGCGACACATGAATGGTGGGCAGGAGAGTGGAAGCAGTTGGTGAGTGCTGTCTCTTAAGTGAGACCTGGAATGCCGGCCTGAAAGGGGTGACAGAGGCGCCCTGTACCGCTGGGCTGTGGACATGCAGTGGAGGTGCCAAGTGGGCACCTAGGTGCTGTGGGTTCAGCACCTGCCAAGACCTGCTTCAGGGTACCGGCCAGGTAGCGGGGCTGGATTTGGCCTCCTGGTGCCAGGGCTGCCTGTGCCTGGCTTCCTCCGGCTGTTCACCTCTTTCCCAGCGCTGTCAGGGCTCTTGCTTCTCTGGCTCTCGGGTGGGGAGGGATGCACAGTCCCTGCCTGCCTTGAGGTTTTGGCCTGGATCCATCTCTGGTCTTGTCTGTGGTTGGCTCTGAAGTCCCCAGACCCTGTCCTGCACCACACTGGGTAGAGACTGCACTGCCCTGTGGGGGCAGAGGGAGTGGCCGTGGTGTGGTGGCTGAGAGTTCAGAAGAGCCGGTTAGCCTGCTCCTGGCAAAGCCAAACTCGTCTGTCAGCTTCATCCCGTGCCTGTCACGCTGCCTCCCAAACACTCACGCACCGGAAGTTCAGATTGGTGTCCTCGTGCCTGGCTCTTCTGGAATGAGCAGGGTAGCTCTGGTGCTCTGGCCTCAGAGGAGAGAGTTGTCAGTTCTCAGCTCATTCCTGCAAGCAGACATCTCCATCCGAGGGTTAGAGGATGACTCTTGGACTTGAGGTGGATGCGGAGGAGAAAGGCTTTGGCATCCTTGAATAGATCTGTTTTGATCTGGTGATAGCGCTCACTAGCTGTGTCACCTCCTTGGGTAGGATAGTGCCCTGGGCTTCGGTTTCCTGTCTGCAGCTACCTAGGCTCTCCCTACAGCCGGGTCCTGAGTGCCCGGAGCCCTGGCCAGCAGATGCTGGGGAGGTGGCCTCAGTGCTCCAGGACCTCAGTGACCTTGATTACCTAAGCCCAAGATTATCCTCCCTGTGTGCTTATCCTGGAAGATGAGGTGTTTTTGTTTTTGTTTTTACTAAGCTTTGCTGAGGTGTAATGACATAGTAAACTGTACATCCTTAAAAGCTACAGTGTAATAAGTTTTAACATGCACGGACCTGTGAGACTGCCACTGGATCAAAATAGTGAACCTGTTCTGTGCTCCCAAGCCCCCAGCAGTTTTCTTTTGTACCTTAGGCGTCCCTCCCACCTCTCTTCTGCTGTCTCCCTTGCCTGCTAACAGACTGGTTTGTTTTCTTATCCTCTGCCCATGTTTGTACTCCCCAGCCATTTGTGTAAATGGAAACCAAATAGTGCGTGCCCTTTTTTGGTCTGGCTTCTTTCATTCAGCCTAATTATTTTGTATTTTATTGTTACTAATTTTTTTTGTCTTTTTGAGACAGTGTCTTGCTATGCAGTTCAGGCTGGCCTTGAGCTCACTTTGTAGCCCAGGCTGGTCTCAAACTCATAACAATCCTCCTGCCTCAGCCTCCAGACTACTGGGATTGCAGGCATGTGCCATCATGCCTGGCCACCTAATTATTTTTAATTCACCTGTGCTGTCTCGTATCTCAGTATTCCTTCCCTGTATTGCTGAGTAGTCTGTTGCCACAGCCACCTTATCCATTTACCTGGCAATGAGTTGGTTTTAGTTTTTGGTACTACAATAAAGCTATTTGTGTTAGCCTCTGTATGGATATATGCTTCCATTTTTCTCAGGTAAATCCCTGGGACTGGCTAGTCTTATGGTAGGTGAACATTTAACTTTTTAGAAACTGCCAGATTGACTGATGGTGTTACCACATAATATGTATCATTTTTATGTTTTAATGAGCCAGTTAAATAAATTTTTAAAAAGTAAGAAAATATTTAGTCTAAAAAAATAGCTAGACAGAGTCCCATGTTCCTATAGCTCAGGTAATACAGGAGGTTAGCTGGGATACAGGAGCTTGAAGCCGGCCTGAGCAACAGAGCAAGAACCTGGACTAGGAAAAAAAAAAAAAAAGCCGGGTATGGTGGCACACATATGTAATTCTAGCAATTGGGAGGCTGAGGCAGGAGGATTGCCACAAGTTCAAGGCCAGCCTGGGCTACATGGTGAGTTCATGGCCAGTTTGGAATATATATCAACATCTTGTCTCAAAAAACCAAAGCCAAAACCAAAACCAAAACCAAACCAAACCAATTCCCCCCAAAAAGCCAAACCAAACCATGTCAGACAGTTTTCCAAAGTGGCTGAACAATTTCATATACTTATGAACACTTTGTATGGTTAGTCTCCTTAATTTTAGACATCCTCTGTCTAGTGGTATCTGACTATGGTTTTAGTTTGTGTTTTGTCAGTGACTAATACTGAGCATTTTCTCAGTGCCTGTTTGCCATGTGTGTCTCTGGCACTGGATCTGTTCAGTGTGCTTACCCATTCTTTTTTTTTTTTTTCCCTGGAACTGGGAATCGAACTCAGAACCTTGTGCTTGCCAGGCAAGCACTGTGCCACTGAGCTGTATCCCTAGCCCCTGCTTACCCATTCTTAACTGGAGATTTTTCATGTTGAATTTTGAAGACTTCTTTCTCTATTCTGGGTGTAAGTCCTTTATCAGATATATGATTTGCAAACTTCTTCCGGTCTGTGGCTTGCATTTTAATTCTCTTAGCAGTATCTTTTTGAAGAGAGCTTTAATTTTTTTGTTTTTCTTGTGGTTTTTTTTTGTGTTTTTTTTTTTTGTCTCGCTATGTAGCTTTGCAAACTGGCCTTGAATTTACTCTGTACCTCAGGCTGACCTTCAACTTGAGGCAATCGTTCTGCCTCAGCCTCCTGTAGCAGCATATAGGTTTTCTCCAATTTTTTTCAGACATATCCTTAAATATTATGTTTTTTGATGCTGCTGTCAATAGTATTGGTTTTTATGGCATTGTTTTTTCTATCTTTAAAAACTATTTCTAATTAATTTTTTTTCATTGGTGGGGCTTGAGCCTAGGGTCTTCTGCATGATAGGCACATACTGTCATAGAGCTGCATTCCCAGCCCTAAAACTATTCTAATTGTGAAAAAATACATACATAATTTACCATTTTAGCCTTTATGAATTTTAAAGTTTAGTGATACAAATACATTCATAGTATTGAATATTATGCACCGTCATCCCCAGAACTCTGCTTATGTGTCCTCTCCCACCTGTATTGGGAGCTGAATCTCGGGGCCTTGTGCTGAGCTACATCCTCAGCCCTTTTTTTATTTATTTATTTATTTATTTATTTATTTATTTATTTATTTATTTATTTAGTCTTTGTGAGACAGGGTCTCACTTTGTAGCCCAAGCTGGTCTTGAACTCACAATGATCCTCCTGCCTCAACCTCCCCAAGTGCTGGGATTACAGGCGTGCACCACCACGCCTGCCCCTCAGCCCTTTTAAATGTTTTATTTACAGTGTTTTGAAACAAGGTCTAAGTTGCCATTGCTGGTCTTGGAGTTAGGATCTTCCTGCGTCAGCCTTCCAAGCAGCTGAGGTTACAGGCATATGTCACTACGTTCAGCTACGTGTTTATTTTTTAAATCTCACACATTATTTTTTTTGGTAGAAGCTTAATTTGACTCAAACACCTCTGCTCTCTTGAAGGTATGGACTGTAGTTCTAGGAACTGTTCTAGTCCAGTCCAGGGCCAGGCAAACGTGAGGAGGCTCTGTCTCCTAACCTTGCTGCCGGCCCACAGTCACCCCTTAACGTCTTGTCCTGTCTCGCTTGGGGTTCATCACTTCACTTCCTCCTTTATGAGTCAGAGCCTGCTTTTTCTTTTTTGCCTGTGCCTGGTAATTTGTGATTAGATGCCAGGTAGCGTGAGTTTTTACCTTGTTGGTTGTTGGATAGTTTTGAATTCCTGTAAATATTCTTGAACTGTGTTCTGGAATGCATTTAAGTGGTTGGAGGCAGTTTTCCCCCTCTGGGGTCTGGTGTCAGGGTCTGGTAGGTGGGACCCGAGCTCTGCTCAGTTGGGCTGATTGTTCACTGTGGGGCAAGGCAGACCCTCGGTGCACTCTGCCTGTGAGCACCCGGGCTTCCTGTGGCCACCTTCTCCCTGGTCTGGGGGCTCTGCACGTTCTGGGACTGATGCGGGGCGGCGGGCTGCATCCCTTGACCTTAGCTCCATCTCCTCAGCTTGGGGAGCTTTCTGGGCTCAGCTGTGCGCTCTCTCCTGGGCCGTAGCCTTGACCGCTGTCCGTTATTTTCTGATGTCTGGTGGCGTTGTGGACACTTTATGTCTTCTGTCAGGAGGGTAAATCTGATCCCTGTTACATAATCCTGGCCAGTGAGATGCAGACGTGACTACATTCCCACCTCCACATGGTTTCTGTCTTCCCTCCGTCCACTCCAGATGTGTCCATTTTAATCTTTACTCTGCTCTCTGTGCTTACTTTATCATAAAGTAGCAAGCCATGGTGACTTTCCCGTCTTATACAACTTTTTATTTTCCCTGAAATTGCTTTTCTTCATCTGTTTATTTATTTACTAATGTATTTGTTTTTAGAGACAAGTCTCACTATGTAGTGCAGG